TAATAGTGTATTGACCAGGTGATTGAGACACTTATAGTTATTTCGCTTTTGAATTTTACTCTTATAAATATATTACGCTCTTTGTTGTTGAATTGGAATTTGGGCCTTAAAATTTTTGCTCGATAATTGAAAAAGATCTATGCACCTTCCCTCTAGGTCTATTTGTGGTATTTAGAAGTTTCCCAACTTTCATCTAGCTTTGATGTAGATTGATCACGAATTTTTAGCCTTTGGAGCGATCCAAACTTCTTGTTTTGTATTTTTCAATTGCAGAACACCCTTGAATCAATCCAAACCTGTTTAAATAGAAGTGTTGAATAGGAGAGGGATTGAAGTGTGGGCATAATCAAATAAAGAAAAGTTAGAATGCGAAGATCTACGTAGTTCAACACATAGTGCCTACATCCATAGACCGAATATTGTATGGGCAGTTGTATAATTGATTAGTGATTATACACATGAAACTCAAGCCAATTTATAGGGTGAGAAAAACATATAAAGATAAAATCAAACAATAAGGAAATGTTATCTCTCTTTGGATCTGATCATAGCTCATAGTATGAGCTAAAGATTCTTGGCTTCTTTCTCCCCCCAAACTCCATTCAAACTGTTAGATCATATTTGTAATTGGCTAATTTTGTGAAGTCTATTGTAAAATCTCAACCTATTCCATGTTTATGATGCTATCAAGTTCAAGATTCAAAAGCATCATTGGCAAGAGGAGATCAAGCGTCAAAGTAACATTATTCTACCTTAGTATGCACCTTCATGCTTAGGAGAAGATAATGACCTAGAAACCTAAGATGAACTTTTAGTTATTTTAACTTTGGTTGATTAGGATAAAAATGGAATTGGTAGCAATCTGATCATGACTTCTAGGTGATTTTAAAAGAAAAGTATTTTTAAACCATTTATAAGTTTTGAAAATATAGTTTGAGTTATAATAATCTTTGAGCAATACTCTTTAGTGCTCAAGATGACAAGTTTTTGCATAATTTTATGCTTAAAAACCTATAGGGACCGATCTCTGCTCGCTAGCCTTTGCTAGAGTAGCCTTTTTATGATTTAGGGAAAAAAAGGGAATTGGCCATGAAAGACAGCACAAGGCTTGCTCTATGGGTTCGCTCGAGCATTTTCATGGTCGCTCAGCGGTAGTTGCCTCAGTTGTGTTTGAAATTTTGCTTAAATTCTAGCATTAACCGGCTTCTGACGACTGCCTTCCCACCGATCGAGCAGTCATTTGCGAATCTGAGTTTTCTTATTTACTACAACTACCCTTATTTCGAATTTATAAATTGAGAGAGGCTTTCCCACATCTAGGTAAAGCCTCTAGTGAGATTTTCATAAGAGAAAATTATACTTCTATCTTAAGAGCTTTTACCATAACCTAGATCCCTAAGATCTAAAAGGCTACCATTAGAGACTCTACCAAACCTCATAAATTAGAATTGAAAATTTTGATGGTTTGATAAACCTATTGATGTGTACATATTGAGGATTGTTGGTGTGTTCATAAATGAACCGTGTGATGGGGAGGTTCAAGTAACGCTACACTAGATGTCGAAGGAGGCCTTTTGGCGGAGAGAAAGTAGGGAATGAAATATCTAACCATGGTATTGGTTGAGATATAAGTTTTGAGTACTTTTATGTTGACTGAGCAAGTAGTGGATTAGGTTTTGGTGAACCGAAAAGGTTCCCATAGTTTTTTCTGAAGAGGGTTTCCGCGTTAACAAGTCCTTTGTGTTATTTACTCTTTATCATATATACTTGTGATTGTTTGCACATACGAGCACTACGTATTTGTGGATTTGATTGATTGAATATTTATCCGTACATAGTTGTGTAATTGAGGTTGGGGATTGGGATCGACGTAAGATTGATTAAGAATTAATGAATTTAATATTAATTTAATCAATCATTATCGTGAAAGGTGGTTGTGGTGACTAAAAGGGTTTTCATATCAATTGCTAAATTTTTATGGGAAGAAATAATTGTGATGGTTTAAGTTTTAATTGGTAATCAATTGGGTTAAAATTGAAAAATCTATTCACCTCCGGTATACTGTCTTGAGCTCTACGTGTATAATCGTGAGGGAAGATTCACATCGGGTTCTCCCACGAGGAACAACACAAATCTTCCCCCAAGTTCAATTAGATGCATTTGAATGAATCCAGTCTTGGGTGAAATACTAAAACAGTGTTCTTGAGCTCAAGTTCAATACATATCACCACAGCCAGAAGTCCATCGCATTTCAAAGGTGATTTCAACCATATCAACAACCACAATCCTTGAGGTTAACATGCCAAGGACAAACTATAGGAATTGAATCATAGCCATGCTCAAAACATGTAAATTCCTTCTCGAACACGCTTCAATGCAATGATACTCTAGGAACTCATGAACTCTAAACCTACAGCTATTCACATGCTTCCAATCAACAAAACTATGATTTAAGAGGATTCTTACGGGAAAAAAGGACTCTTAATCCACCCAAATCGAGTTCTTGGCGAAAGTTTTTGAAAGAACCAAGCTCAAATCCAATCTAGGAAGGTTTGAAAATGGAGAATTTAGGGTTTATACAAAGGAAATGAAAGAGAGAGAGAGAGATGCATGTGTTGTAGCACATGGCCCAACACATGATTTTGTGCGCACCACAAGACATTTCTATCTCAATTCCCTTAATACACTCCCTGCCCTATGGCTAGAGGTGTGGCACCTTGATGCCTTGAAGTTCTTTATAAAAGTTATTTGTATCACCCCAAATTTTCATAATTAATATGTTATGCTTTATACCCTAAGCACATCTGTTTCAATATTGAATGCCATTTCAAATAATCCTTGTTTGTTGTATGAACAGTTATCTTGTAGACTTGGCTGATATTTATCTTTGTTTTCCATTGGATATTAAAACTGTTATCTTATATGAATGGATTCAATTATTTGATTATTTTCATTGTTTAATGTGGTTTGTTTTGTCTTGTAGTATGTGGAACTGGCGGGGTCATTCTATTCGCTATCAGTATTCTGGTTACAGTGGCCCTGCAATAGTTTTGGTTCACGGCTTTGGTGCAAACAGGTCTACATCGTGTACATTTTGCTTCTCGTCAACTATTTGATGTAGGTATTAATTGCAATATGCATGGAACAAACAATTTGTCATCTTCATGTTTCCATTGCATGTAGAAGTTGAGATTCCAAAATTTATTTATACTAGGGTTTTTATGGAAGTGGTTTGAGTTCATAGGAGGTTGAACCCATAATCTTACTGGAAATTGTAAGTAATTATAAATTTTTACTTTGGGTGATTTGCAATAGCCCCACCTTTAGAATATGCATTCCCACCCCTATTAAACTCCCTAATATTATAATTGCAATTCTCACCCCATTATACCCACCACATTAGTGCCTAAACCTTCCCCATATCTTCTCCTGTATATATTCTCACCTTGAAGATTGTTTTTCCACCCCATTTCCCATACCCCACACAAAATAAACCCCACGCCGTGTGGCATATCATCTTCCCTCCCTCCATGGCCACCACCCAGCCAGATCTCTCTCTTCTTCTATCTTTTTCACTCTAAAGTATACAATTTCTGTCTCACTGTTAACCTAATCGATAAAGGCAAAGGTTTGTGCATTTTGGCAAGTCAAACAATAACCATCACTGGCTTCTGTGCTTTTAATTTTCCAGATTGACTTTTTGGTGTGCAATTTGTATCTGGTGGTTAAAACTTATCCATAAAGTTGAAGTTTAGTGCATTTTGGAATGTCAAAGTAATACCCATCACTGGTTACGTAGTCTAGCACCATCACCATCACCATCAATTTGTCAAGTGAGCAGTGCATTCAGAAAGCTATTCAAGTGATAAGGTAATTTGTACATGCATTCTAGGACGGCATCAAAAGTTCTTGTCTGGATTGTTTATCATGGGAATCAGCTTGTGCTGAGTATGGAGAAATGGAAACATTTGTGGCAATAATACCGATCAAAAAATGAAAGGAAAAATGTTACCGAGTTACAATTAAAAATAGTGATAGGTATCCTGGGGTTGTCATGGGAATGAGATCTGCTGGTATCAAAATATTCACCCTGATATATTTCATTACCGTTACATGCATTATTGAGGTACTTTAGTCTCTCAATGTTTGCTAGAATTTGTTAAGTTTGCAAGTCGGAGAGGCAAAAAAAAGGGGCCCCGCCCACCGGGGGGGGGGGGGGGGGGGGGGTGGGGGAAGAGAGAGAGGTTTGGCTGGGTGGTGGTTGTGGTGGGAGGGAAGATGATACGTTACACAAACTGTTTTCTATTTCTTTTTGTTTTGTTTGTAAAACCCATATAAGTTTCATGGGTTGAGGAGAACTCACATTTTGCTTGTAGGGGGCGAGGCCATTTTTCATTGAAAAACAGATTTCATTCAAAATGACCGTAGTTCACGATTGGAGTGAATCACACATCATACGATATGCATGATTGCATGTGATGAAAATATTATTTGGGCTCATTGTTTATGTCACTTAAAGCATTTCAAAGTATTAGTCTATATATATCTAAACATTGGTGGAAATATGCTGAAACATCTCGAAACAACTCGAACACATTCTGAAATACCTCGAAACAACTTCAAGCATTGGAATTTTGATTCAATCAGGATTCATCTCGGTCTCTTGGAAACGAAAACATTTTGGTCGTTTTGAAATGATATTTTGATCCTTGGCAACACCTTGTATGAATCATGTGATTCACTCCAGTTTGTAGTTCCAACCCAATATTCCCATCGTGCTGCCTGGAATTTGTATCAAATCCTGCAAATGGCATGACTATAATAACCTATCTTAGGAGCATTGACTTTGTGATCTTTCTATTGCTCTCAGCTTCTATGTGCAAGTTAAGGTCCAAAATGAACATATGCGTTTATTGAAAGACTCATTCTTTTATGTCAGTGCAATTTTGAGTTGTGGATCAGTGATCGTGATGATGTGCCTCACTTGTCTTTCTTCACAGTGACCATTGGAGGAAAAATATTCCAGTTCTTGCGCAGTCGCACAGGGTATTCTCAATTGATCTTATTGGTTATGGGTATTCAGACAAACCAAATCCGCGTAAGCTTGGAGTTAAATTCTTTTACACATTCGAGACATGGGCCAGTCAGCTAAATGACTTCTGTACAAATGTGGTCAAAGATGAAGCATTCTTTATTTGCAATTCTATTGGAGGTGACCACCTTTTGAACGATATTGCTTTCACTGGCCTAATGCTTGACTATTTCTTTTGTTGCCTGATTGATTTCTCTCTAGGTAATGGGCACGCAGAAGATTGGTAATAAATAAGATATCCATATGGATGGCCTTTTTCTTTTCATTTGTCCTTGCTTTGTTCCCTTTATCTTTGCCCAAGCTCTTGCACCTCCTAGATCTAGATATATTATAATTACCTTCTTACTTCAAAATTGTCCATTTGTTTGTATGAGGCATTACAATCTCCTTGCAATCAGTAAGTGATGATTGTGGTCTTAACACATTGACGGTGTTGTTTAGAGTATGATGCTAGTATTGTACGCAGAGGCAATTACATTTATTTAGTTGTTGGTGTAAGCTAAGGAATGCGACACTATTGCACTTGTTTATTTTTGTTATTCTCATTGTTAAAATTTAGCAGTTCAATTTCTTCATCCTGGCATGGTATGAGTTGCTTTTACATCGTATATATGAGAGAATCTTTGGAGAGCACTGAACCCTGTAAGGAAAAAATCTCATCTGAAGACTATGCAAAGATATTTAAACTATAAAATTTCAACTATGTTTTTGAGCAAAAGGGATATAACGAAACTTATTGATCATTTTTCATCGCAAATTTTGTAGTAGCAGAATGTTGGTGAAGAGGAAAGAGTTGGGCTAAAATGAGAAATGGGTGAGGGAGAGAGGGACACCAATTTGAACAGAATGAAGTATGTCTTCAGATGAAAAAATGGCCAAAACACACCCAGATCTGATCTAAGAGTAACAAAGCCTCTGGACAGCACCTAAAGTACCACCAGAGGCCAAAATACAGCAAACCCAGTAGCTAAACACAGCTAAAGCACCACAGAGGCCAAAACGCAGCAGTTAAAACAAAACCAGCAGCTAAACAGTGGTCAGAAACAGAGTCAGAGGCCAAAACAGGAGGCCGACACTCAGTTTCTTGCCAAAAAACCTCCCAGATCCACTTTGGTTGCAATGAATCTGAATGGGTATTCCATTCTAGCCCTAGTTGACTTACTGAAGAGATTCGACCCAAAAACAGTGGCAAAATTGTGCAAACCAGGCAGATCTGAAGCCAAAACCATTCAAAAATTTTAAAGACCCACTAGATGACTTCAAAAAATTACAAGAAAATAACCATAATTCTGAGGAAAAAAAATTTCGAACCTACCCTGAAATTTCAGAAAAATTTGACAATGTCGGTCGCTGATGTCGGACTGACAAAATATGACATCAGTTAGATAAGTCACGTCTCCGAGGATCTCCAACAACTTTACGGCTTCAGATTTGGATCGATACTTTGATACCAAGTTAAATTATGAAATAATTAGGTTTAGAATAATAAAAGAAAAGAGAGGAGAAAGAGAAACAAGATTATGGGAAGAGAATAGTGTGTTAGTTTACATAGCTACACCCATCTTTTATATATAATCACAAAATAGAAAACTACCCTTGATCTGGAAATAACACATAAGAAAACAATGGAGGACCTCAGGATCTCCTAGGGAGTTGGAATAAGTATGCATGGATGATTGTGGCATTTTTTGGATGATGGGGACTATATAGGGTGATGCTGCTGCCATGTTCAATGGTGATAGTGGGAGATCTGGCCTCTGTTGGTGATAGTGTTTGGAGGTGCTGGTAATTTGCAAATGGGGAGACATGTATATAAGGTGCTTGGATAATAGTTTCTTAGTGAATTGTTTATTTGAGTGAAACTGTATAACAAAATCCTACTTGTTTTTAGGGTCTGTGTTTGTTCTTGTTGCTTGGAGTTGCATTTGTGTGAGAATGAGCAAGAATTCCACAACACATAATATATTTAATTATACATGTCTCTGGAAAATAGGATGGCTCTCAATTAAGGCTAATTCAGGATTCTTTTGACGGTAAAAATGAACTTTCTTTTGCTTAAAAACAGTCGAAACAATCAAGGATCAAAATTTCGTTTCGAAGTACCGTTTCGGTCATATAAATTTCCGAAACGTTTCGGAAACGTTTCGGAAATGCAATGGAAACGCGGAAAAAATATGGAAACGCGTGGAAACACAAATACAATCCATTAATTTATATCTATAAAGATAAGCTAAATAATTGATTAATTCAACATATTTATTGACTTAACATCCATTTATAGAAGAAAAAATTTAAATTGGAGGGAAAAAAAGACTTGACATGAGGCGAAAATCACTTAAATTAGTTTTAAACACTTAAATTTTTATCAAATAAACACATTTTTATATAATATTAAGATCTCATAATACACATGAAATGCTAATGAGTACATATACTTACATGGCTACATCCATCCCCCCGTGGAGTGTCGAGCAGGCTCATACATTGGTGTAGGCTCTGGGTAGCTACTTAGAGAAACTCTATATGTGACATAAATATGATGACAATAGTTACTCCAACTCATATTATTACGATAATATGAATTATATTCTCTCCCAAACCTCTAATAGTCTGCAACACTACATCCAATCTGTTGGGGAATGAATGCACCAGTCCCTGACCAATCTTTATCTTGTCTATATGAGGAGGATGTCTGGGAGTCATAGCCAGATCCATAACCATATGTTGAGGATCCATATTCGTATCCTCGTGTGTCATACTCCGATCCATAATCATATGAGGGAATACCATATCCGGAACCATAACCATATGAAGACGACGAACCATAATTATGGTGTTCACTTCCACTTTCACTTATACTCATGGTAGAAAAACCATCATTAATCATATCAGTTCCATGCTTAATAGCACCCATACCATGTGGAGTGATCGGATTTTGAGTACGCTCACGTTGACAATCTCGAGTTGATTTTGAGCGTCGTTCATATTGAAGCATTCGTCGAGAGCCATGATCTTCATCTTGTGTAGCATGTGTAAATCCTTCCTCTACAGTGAATACAATTCCATGTGGACTTTGGCTCCCCATACCTCCATCACCACCATGGCTATCACCACCTCCACTGTCACCATCTCCACTACCACCACCACCACTATCTTCATCATCATCTTCACCGCCATCATCATTGCTACCATCACTATTATGATCATCATCAGTACTTCTAGTGACAGTGATAGGTTGCTTACGTCTTGGTGGACCTCTCATTAGTCTGTCAAATTCTTCATCATCCATTGCTTTACTTGATCCTCCTCTACTTATTTTGAATCTTGATTTTCGTGGTGGCACAACACCTTGACTTAGGCCTATTCCTCTATCGTCATTGGAAAAACGATTTGCCCGCGTCGATAGGAAAGTGTTTGGTCTTGTTGATTGCCCATCATCATCAAGTTCATCTAAAAGTGCATCACCAGGATCATCTAACCACTCTGAAATACCTTCATCTTCGTCAAAAACAGTGGTTAAGTCTATAGGTCTGAATTCATACCCTTTTTTGTCCTTCATAAGGTGCTTTAACTTCAACCTCATGTTATATTGTGCAAACACCAGCCTTTCTAATTTTTGATAATTGAGTCTATTCCGCACTTTAGTGTGAATGAGAGCAAATGTACTCCAGTTTCTCTCACAACCACTAGATGAAGCTGTTTTCGATAATATTTTCATAGCAATCTTTCTCAAATTTGGAGCATCAGTGCCATACATAAACCACCATTCAGCTGCATAATAATAAGAAACATATTAAAACCTTAAAGAAAAATATAAATAGAAAATCATGAGAATAAAATATAAAAGTGTAAATAATCTACTTAATTACCTGGATCACTTTTTGTTCTTCCTCTAATTGCAGCTTGGTCAGCAATACAATACATAGCCTCCCGAAATATTTTTACCTAAATATCATGGGTATATTGATGTTATATATTAATTCAGCATATTTGTAAATTGAGATTGAAATACTAAAGTATTACCTCTGCAAGTGCTTCAGCAGCCTTGTTTGGATTTGTTTCTAGTCTAGACACAACGATCCGAAGCGAACCCAAGAAATTTTCTAATACACCAACATCTTCTTCATAATGGTATGTGGGGTTCAAGTAATAAGCTACACAATATAAAAAATGATAACACTTATAAATGATAACATTCAAAATGATAACACTCATCAATAATAAAAATATAAATTGATAAACAATAAGTTTACCTGCCATATGAATATGTTGAATGATTTGTTTTTTCCATCGAGCATCAATGATGTCAAGATATTTTTTGCACGATTTAGGAGCCGCATCTTTGACAGCTTGTCTTGCTCGTTTCATTGCTTCATATACATATGGCATTGTTGCTTTTCTTTCTTCATCCACCATTCTTAGAACTTTTGCAATAGGTGTATGCATATTCAACACATTTTTGGCGATCTCCCAAAATTTAGGATTTAGAATTGTCCCTTGAACTCGCTTTCCAACTGGATCCTTTTCTGCCGCAGTCCTAGACCAATCTTCTGAAGTAAACATCCTTTGCAAACTATTTCTCTGCTCCAACATACTTTGTAAGGCAATATAATTAGTGACAAATCTTGTTTGCCCTGGCCGAATCAATTCCCCCGAACAAAATGTTCGCATTATATCCATGACTCTATTATGATTATAAATAAAATTTGTCACTCTTTTAGCTTGCTCTAGTACATTTTGAACTGTTTCAATCTTGGAAAAATCATGCAAAATCAAATCTAGAGAGTGGGCAGCACAAGGAGTCCAATATAGGTGTGATCTTCTTTCCATCAACATTTCACCAGCTTTTTTGTACGCACTGCAATAATATTAGGGTTATAGAAGAAGGAGAGGAAAATAGAGAAGAGAAATAGAGAGATTAAGAATAAATTGGGCGTTCAGCTGTGTTTCCCAACACCTTATTTATATTGAACAAATATCTTGGGTAATTACAATATTACCCTACACTATCTAATGCTCATAAACGTAAGTATCAAACATAAAAATAAGAACTCTAGCACTCCCCTTCACGCTTTAGTATAAAGATAAAAAATGCTGATCTTGGAACAGAAACAACTGAGGCAGGCCGAGCCAATGGCTTGGTAAGATTATTACATAGTTGATCACAATACTTGATATATGGAGTGATTAATCTCCTTTCGCATCAACAACTCTCGATTGAAATGACAATTAATCTCAATGTATTTAGTACGCTCATGAAATACTGGATTACTCGCAATGAAAATCGCTGCCACAGTGTCACAATGAATCTGCATAGGAGAAGGAACATTAATGTCCATATCATAAGTAAAAAACGAACCCACACATCTCACACACTGGATGAGCCATAGCTCGATATTCAGCCTGCACATCACAATAGACAAAAGTAGATTGTCTATCACTCTGACTTTGTCTAGTCAGAAACTAGTAACAATTATAGATGACCGTGACCGATATAA